AAAAAAAAAAAAAACAACAGTATTTGAAACGAAGCCGACAGGAATCTGTTTGCATTCAGAGTTTCCTCCTGATCGCTTCTATAAATCAGATCCCCGTTGCCCTTGTAAGAGACATCAAGTGATTAAGTCATCACTGTTTAATGAACGGTAGAATAAGGAGGAATTATAATCAGCGAGAGAGGAACCAGTGCACTCACTTAAAAAGAGAAATTCTGGACCCCAAGAAAGGTATCGAAATAATTTGCCTTCATGTAAAATTTTCAGTGATACGTTTCATGAATTCCGAAGGTCATCGGGGCAAGGCAGCATGAGAGGTGTTTGTAGGTAACTGTAAGCAGTGTTCCGAAATTTTCATCATTCCATAATTCCTACGAATGAGCATTACACAAGCTATAGTTAGCAATTATTTGAATAGGGCCTTTATCAGTTAAGAAGAAAAAAGAGAACAAGCAACTGAAAATGCTGACCCAAGAGTTTCTTTCTTTTTATCTAAAGTTTTAGGTCGATGAATTATTACTCGCGGATATGCGAAGCATAGGAACAAGTATTGTGGGCATTCGATATTTAAATTTCCCTAGCATAGCATTAGGAGTCTGGAGAGAGCATGCATCTTATCAAAGATGGTGGACTTATTGTCATGTATGGCATGTCAGTTGTGGAGGACTTTTCATAAGTGGAGATGATGGCTAATCTAGTGCTGGACATGTACCCTGGAATAGCCCCTTAATCAGAGTCTGATCTACTGACAATTCCCACAAGAACATACCCATTTTTGTGAGAGTAGGAATTATACATCAATTTTAGTTTGCTATGTTCGACTTGATCTGACGTAAAAAAAGGTTATAGTCTCCACTGTAACACGAATTCATCATAGCGTCATTTTTATTCTAGTTACTTATCTGATTTAACTTCACTATCCTCTCATCACGGGGAGTAAGACCATTTTCAGCAACGCACTTGTAATCGCCGAAATCGCCACTGTCCTTCAGTGCCACCTGAACTGTAATTTCTTTATTTGTGACTCTAAATATTTCATTTCCATCAGGTTTGTACCAGGTGAGTGTCGGTGTAGGAACACCATCTGACTGACACTTCAAGGTCAGTGCCTGACCAACCCAGGACGCAAGAGATGAAACAATGACAATCTGAATTTTTGGCGGGTCTAAAAATGAATTGGACAAAAAGTCACAAATTATTGCATCAAAAAGTGGTGGTACATTTATTTGAATAATTTCACACATATTGCTGTTCCCACCAACCTTCACGCATGCTATTCAAATATAGGTAGAAGGCATTACTAAGAAAAAGACAATATCTCTGAACTTCCTATCCTAAGGCCAACAGGCAACTGACCCGAGCCTCTTCACCCGACTTACATAGTCACAATGTCAAAAAGACTTAATCTACAATGTTGCACCTATGTTTTATTTTCTGTAGAAAAACTTCGGAAATATTATGTGGAGCTATTCTCAAGATAACGGGCCTAACTTAGGATTAGAGTCGAAGGAGCATTACAATCAATGGTGCACTTAGTTGGCCGAGCTGTGGTTCCGTATCGAGAGAAGGAGCTTGGTCAAAATTTAGCCCATTTGCTTAAAACGTTTTGTAAATTTGTCCCCAAGAAGGCATAAATTAATACATGTAAATCCGAGCTCCTCGCATCGTGTCGATGCTGATAAACCAAAAATAAAATTAACAGCATCATCATTTTAAAACAACAAAATTTAATTTTTTGAATTCAGTCAACAACAAGACCTAATCCCGCCGAGGTGTATGAAATTCTGAGATGCAGCTCTGTGTCTCTTTGAAATTCTAAGTCCTTCGCACAGAAAAACTTCGAACTTGATTTCGGTTTTCATCCTCGTGCACGTCTTACGGTTGGTGCTGTGCTTGCAACCATCCCATATTTTAAATTAGTTCTCGTAATTTGTTCTTTACGAGGCATTGGTCAGGTTTAAGAGTCATCAAAGTTCAGAATTGTTGTTATTAATGACCGCATTGTAGGTCGCTCTTTTCTCCTTATTCAGTCCTGTGCCAACTGACTTTTCCACTCAGTCTCTTCCTCGTCTCTGATGTTGCAGCACAGAGATCGGTCGGTGGGCTGAGAGGATATAAGATATGATGGATATGTGGCTTGGGAGTGAATTTTGCGTTTGCACAATTTAAGTAAAGTACATGAATTGATCGTACCACCCTTTAATCTATTGCTTTCCCTCGAGACGTGAGCTTGGAATGCTTGTGCTTTGACTGATCTAGTCGTGGGCTCAAGGTAGAATAATTTTTTTGGCAAGGATCCAGTTGTCCCCTAAAATCTCAGTGCAAAAATTACTCAAATGTCAATGCTTTGTTATAAATTGCACAGTTCAGCAAAAATTCTGGAAAAGTGCAATACTCACATTTGACGACGAGCGCAATGCGGAAATCATCACAACCTTCACTGTTACAAGCTTTACAAGTATAATTTCCATCATCACTCCGACTGATGTTTCTAAAGGTCAAGCTGGCAGTTTTTCTGGCGGATGATAACACGGCACCATTCCTCAGCCATTCCACGTTTGGTGTTGGTATTCCTCTGGAGGTGCAAGTTACATTCACAGGAAATCCTTCGTTGTAACTTTTACCAACAGATAGATCATCAATTTGTGGTTTTTCTGAATGTACGAAAAAGCACAGGAAGTAAATCTTTTCCGAGTGGTTGAAATTACCAACGCATATCATAAAAGAAAGCATTCAGTGCAAGTGTATACACATAAGTTCCTCACCAGTTGGTTCTTAGCCTTAAAATGTTCTCTAATACCGAGTTACATACCTGATAAAGGGATTCGGATCTCTCACAATTCTGTTCCAGTACTCCCTCCCTCCCCCCCTCTCTCTCTCTCTCTCTTTCTCTCTCTTCTCTCTCTCTCTCTCTTTCTCTCTCTCTCTCTCTCTCTCTCTCTCTGTCTCTGTTTCTGTCTCTGTCTCTGTCTCTGTCTCGGTCTCTATTTGTCATTTCAATATCGTTGCCCAGTCATTGGTACTGTTCAGAAAACAACATTTAAATTTTTTTCCCACAAAAGTTAAACACAAAAAAAGGGAAAAAATGTGTCTTGATATTATCAAAATACCATTCTGCAGCAACCCATTAGGATGATATTTTGAAACACACACCTGCTACAATAAGATGAACTTCACTTCCACGATCAGTGTATGAATCAAATAATATGCATTTAAATCTGGTGTTGTCTTTAGGAGTTATTTTCTCAATGACCAGGGTAGCTCTTCCTTCCATCTTGACTCTCCCTTTATAGGAAGAAGGTATGCTTGGATGTTCAGTGACAACGCCGTTTTGTTTTACAAGCATTTCTTTAAATCCAGCTTTACTCAGAACGCTAAAGATAAGGCCTCGGAGATCATTGTTTGGGTCACTGTAATCCCACACCAGTTTGGCAGTGCTTCCATTTTTGACATAGCTAGGATCATTAGGCATCACAGAAAACTTAAGAGCCGCCACTAGAAAAAAAGCACTAAAACACTAAGTTCAATCTGAGTACATGAAAGTATAAAATGATTAAAAAAGAAGCCATGATATATAACT